GCATTTGTTCTAACGATGCTCGTCTATCTACAAGAATGAGGCCCAGACCTAGAAAATATATTTCTTTTTTTGGCCGCAAAAACTAAAAATTTCCTGTGTAAGTCAAATATATAGAACTTCTTGCATGCAGCGTAAATTTCAGAGAACGTATATGGTGCAGCACAGTGTGGTAAAATGTCCATCTCGGCACAAGACAATCTCGATTTGCAAAACGCTTTATATGGTATTCCACTATATATAGAGGATCACAAAAATGTCCTGTAAGAAGATATTTTGTTAAAAAATTTTAGTGCTGCTGGCTTTCACAAATATCCTGTTTCTGCATAAATACAGAATTGTACATGACTCTTCCACAGTCCCTCAGATTTGCTTCGAAAAAATTAAAATAATGCAGGCGCTTGCGGGTTAGAAAAGTGGAACACGCCTAGGCTCGTGGAAATGCTGCGGGATGAGCGACTGGGGACGAGGGTGGAATTCTACCCCTACGTCTGCGCGTATTTATTCTTGTATTCAAAAGACTGGAAATAGTATTGTGTTCACAAAGCTCCACCAAACGTTTCGAGAAAATTACGAGTGTTTAAACTAAAGTATAACTTCGTCTTGACACAAGGAAGAAGCGCTGAAATTCCCTATACCTTATAGCTTCAGCCATTTCCTTATAGTAAGTACTACACATTTCCCGTATTTACTCCTATCATTATGGCAGATATTTCCCCCTCCATATATACTCGCGCATGTGCTTTACGTTTGACCGCGGTATTATTTCTGTAGGAAATGATGTGCTTGACTTGGTTTAAATTTAGAATTATATTATTATGTTTTATAGGAGATCGACTAACAGTGGAGTGGGCGAATATGAGAGTGAGAGACGAGTCGCCAGGTCAGATATGATGAACGATTATTACATGCATGTCCTTGTGCATGTGATTGACTGCGCACAGACTGTGATTTTTTGACATGTTCTTTTTATACCTAGATATACAATTTTCATTTCAATGTTCTATCTTCAAGAATGGAACTTTGATTTTTGCTTATAAAAATGTGAGTTGTTGATGGTATTAATAAATAATATTGTTAATAAAAAATATTGTTTCTCCTTGCATTAAAACCGTTGTTAGTCGACTTTAAATACGTTGGGCAAACCACACTACTTCCCATTCTCGGAAGAGAGGCAAACGAAGGTAAATTCCGAATCATAGTTTATAGCTGTATTTTTCACACTGACTTAACTGACTTAACACGAACAGGGAGGGTAACAGTCGGGACAGACCGGACGCGATTCGACAACGCGGCGCGATTTTTCGATTTTTACTGACCGATAACTTTGATCCTGGTTTACGTTTTCCAAATATTTAGAAGCAGTATAACACTTTGAGTTATATTTGGTCTACATATCTTTTAAAATTTCCTTTCATTGGCATGTTTTATTAACTTTTAGAAAATTGAAAAATCGCGTCGCATTGTCGAATCGCGTCCTGTGTGTCTCGGCTTTGAGGATTTGCCATAGAAGAGCGAGATATCACTATCAAACAGCTTCAAGCGAATTTGTAAGAAATTGAAAATGAAAGAAACTCATTAAATCTTAAGAATTTACCAACAAAGCATGTTGACAATAAAAGTAAGACTGCATCGCCGCCAACGCAGCCCTTGATGTGTCAAATGAATAATATTGAGGATTTAATCAACTTGTCTAAAATTAACGATCTATGTGATATTGAAACCGATGTCTTGGACGATGCATCTAAATCTGATGATATCCAAATACTTCTACTATAAAGGATCTTGAGGCCTTTATTGACAAGTCTTTCTATAGCGCCTCTGTCGAGCTATCTAATCCTGTCCAGCCGACGGACTTCTCCACTCTAGCGCAAAGACGCTCTGAAGAAAACCTGCCGTACAAACTCTTTGAACAGAATAATACCATAAATATAAATAAGCAAGAGCTATGCAAATTGACCTGCAAAAATTTACATCTTAAATCACGTATCTCGGAGTTGGAGGGGAGATTGTCGCCAAAGAATACAACAAATGGGAGTAGTGACCTGAACCTGTGTGGAAAAATAGTTAAAGGAAATAATATCTTAACTGCGAATATAGATGCTTGTGCTATTTCTAGTCGCCTTTCGCCTGGAACAACTGCATATGTCGATGGCAGCGATGAATATGCTATCTCAACTGCGAATGCCGATGCTTGTGCTGTTCCTAGTGACAGTCCACCCGAAAAAAGTGCGCATGCTGATGACACTTCGGCCCCTATAAGTCAACAGTGTGGTGAAGATAACAGCGGAGATTATGATAAAGAGACTTTGAACCGGACTGACAATATCGTCAACCCAGAACGCACAATCAAGTCAACAAAGCAAGTTTTGAACCCGTTAAGTAATCCAACTATGGATAACCATGGAGAGAACAAAGAAAACATCGGTCTCGTATTAGCGAACAGTATCGGGAGGTGTCAGCAAAATTCGACCTCTTACGAGCAAGAATTAAGGTCCCCCAAAACCCCAACTAGGTCAACAAATAAGCCTCTCCAGAAGCCAAATACAAAGGCTGCCTTACAAAGCACAAATGTTAACAATAAAATCAAGTCTGATCTGCCCCTCCCGACCCGCTCTAAATCCCAAGTACCTGAGTGGCTTTCCCGTTTACCTTTGGTTGAAATCCCAGTTGACTATAGTCAATCTCCTTTTCCAAAGCGTCAGCGAACCGAGAACCCACCATACCAGCAAATCGGATGTCCCCGAACTAAATTCCAAGTACCCAAGTGGCTTTCTTGTTTACCTTTGGTTGAAATCCCAGTTGATTATAGTCAATCTCCTTTTCCAAAGCGTCAGCGAACCAAGAACCCACCGTACCAGCATATCGGATGTCCCCGAACGAGGGATTGGCTGAGTTACCTCGACTTTGTTCGCCAAGCCACGAGAACCAATTCGAAATTACATCATTCCGACCGATCTCAGCTAACTCTCGTTTCACGCCTAACAATATCTTAATGGGAAGTAATATACCCAAGTATCCTAACGAATCAAGTGCTATCCCGATCATAATTTCAAAGCGTATTGCGAGAGTAAATAACAATAATGTACACCGATCTAACTTAATCAATATACCTATGAACGATGAATGTAGAAAATCTGTGACGTGCTTACAACAGATAGTCCCCCCAAAGTCATGCAGTTCCGTACCTTCCCTGTTCCTGTCCAACTCGAGGTCACTAGTAAATAAGATTGATGAACTTTCTGGTACCGTCTCTAATCTCCTTGCAGACATTGTAGTTATCACCGAAACGTGGCTCACTTCCAACGTCGATAGCGCAGTGATAAACTTAAGTGGGTTCTCTATATTTAGGCGCGATCGAGAAGATGGTAGAAGAGGTGGGGGCGTGTGCACTTACGTGAAAAACTGTCTACCTGTAGTCCATTTGAAGGATCTCTCGAAGCCTGAATTTGAAGCTTTGTGGCTATTAATCAAACCAAGACGCCTACCACGTGGCATTAATTCAATCGTATTGGGAGCCATTTATCATCCGCCAAATAGTGACAATAGGGCCATGTTGGCTTATCTTACCGAGTCCCTTGACCGCGCTCTAACAGCTAACCCAGGAGCTGCCATCATCCTAACCGGCGACTTCAACCAATTCAAACACCGCCAACTGTGCAATTCGTTTTCCTTAAAACAGATCGTGAAGAATGCTACTAGAGGATCAAACATTCTTGATAAAATCTTCACGAACATTTCGAAATTTTACGACGTTCCTGAAGTTGTTCCTCCACTCGGATTCTCAGACCATAACTCAGTTTTACTAAATCCACTGAATCATCGTAAGAACTCGCGGTCTTTCCGAATGGTTAGAGATGCGCGTCCCTCCAATCGGAGGTTAATCACTGAAGCCCTATCCAGTGTTAACTGGTCTCCAATGTATCATCTGAGCTCTTGTGACGAACAGTTCCAATATTTCTCTTCCATTGTCGATGGTATTGTTGATAAATATCTCCCGCTGAAACGTATTAAATCTGACAGCAGCGATAAGCCCTGGATTACTCCAGAGATAAAAAGATTAATATCGAAACGCCAAGTAACATGGCGGAAAGGAAACAAGCCTATGTTTCGATTCTATAGGAACAAAATTAATAACTTGTGTAGGCGTGCTCGCTCAAAGTATTATACCAACAATGTCGCTAATACCACTCAGTCGAATCCACGGAAGTGGTGGTCCGCTGTCAAAAATATTGCTGGCCTTGCCCCATCTAAAAACGTTTCCACACTTGTGTACAACGGACAGCCCTATTCCGATTCGGCTCTGGCCAACCTGTTCAACGACAAGTTTGTTGCCGTTGGGAATTCCCTGCCTCCGCTTGCTTGGACGCCCCTCGAAGTCGGTGATTTTCCTCCCGACTTTTACATTTCAGTCGACGACACCGAGAAAGCATTACAATCCGTCAAGTCCTTTTCAGCTGCAGGTCCTGACGAAATCACGCCTTGGTTCCTCCGTGAAAATTCCTCGTTATTGTGTCGCCCATTAGCATCCATATTTAATGCCTCTATTCATGATGGTTGTGTTCCATCCCTGTGGAAATCTGCAAATGTCATTCCTGCAGCAAAGTCTTCTCCTGCTCTGGATGTTGACTCTGATTTTCGACCGATATCGCTCACGCCCATAGTGAGTAAGATTCTGGAATCATTTCCATATAACTGGCTCTTGCAGTCAATCCGCGACCAAATCGATAAGCTCCAATTTGGCTCAATTAAAGGATCTAACACCACCATGGCGCTAATACACCTGCTTCATAAATGGTACGAAGCGATGGACACACCTGGAGCCTGCCTACGGATATGCATGCTAGACTTTTCCAAAGCTTTTGACCGTATCGATTTCAACATTCTGATGCAGAAACTCATTAACATGGGCGTACACCCTATCCTAATTAATTGGATTGCCAACTTCCTCACCGACAGAAGTCAGAGAACAAGAATTGGCTCTAATTTTTCGAGTTGGAGAACTACCAACGGAGGAGTCCCCCAAGGAACCAAACTGGGCCCCCTCCTCTTCCTCATCATGGTGAACGACTTGAATGTTTCTGACGATACAGTGAAATTTGTTGACGACACCACTATCTGGGAGATCGTCTTGAAGGGTCAAGAATCCAACTCGGTCCTACCGTCTCAAATTACAGAATCTACTAAATGGGCGTCTGAGAATAACATGAAACTGAACCCTACAAAAACAAAAGAAGTTCGTGTTGGGTTTTCTCCTCTTGATCCCGGGGCTCTTCCGCCGATCACCATTGACGGTCATGATATAGTTGTGGTTCCGCATGCTAAATTACTTGGTGTCATGATATCTAAAGATCTTAAATGGACCGAGCACGTTGATTATATCTGCAAGAAAGCTTCGAAGCGATTGTATGCCTTACGATTACTTAAGAGAGCCTCTATACCAGCGAGCAAGTTAGTCCGGGTTTTTACTACCTGCGTTCGACCAATCTTAGAATTTTCGTGCGAGGCATGGCACTATAGCTTGGCGCAATACTTGAGCGACGAGATCGAGAGTATTCAACGGAGAGCCCTTCGTATAATCTTTCCTGATCTCAAATATGAAGATGCGTTGGTACGTGCTGGGGTGGTGTCACTGTTCCTGCGGAGAAAGACCATTTGCGAGAAACTTTTTGCTCAAATGTGTGATGAATCATCCCATAAACTCCATTCTCTCGTTCCCCCAGGACATACAACAGGATATTCTCTACGTAATGATAATTGTCTTTCAATACCAAAGCATAGGACAAGTAGGTTTGCTAAGAGTTTTATTATGGCCGGTAGTAAGGCCTACAACCCCAGTTTTAAATAATAATTTTTTAGCTATATTCTTACCTAGAACTATCACAATTAACAACTTGTAAATAAGGAGTGTTTGTAGACATTTTTACTCGTATGCATGTAAACCAGTGTAATTCAGTTCTTAACTGCAAAATTGGTATTTTTTAATAAATTGAAAAAAAAAAATTAGGGCTTTTGAATAGCAATTATCAATGTAATACTGCCAACCTCCGCACTAATTAAGGAAACAAATAATTTAAAACACTGAACCAGGAACAATTGTTTTTGACTAGGAACAACAACCAATTAAGAACCAACTCAAGCCTGATTTCTCACTTCAAGCCTGATTTCTCTCACCTGATTTCTCTCAACAAGCCTGATTTCTCACTATAAGTACACATTATATAAGAATCTCTCCAGTCTGACAAAAAGTCCTATCCCATCCACAAGGTTCTTTTATGCAGGTTTTTTATTCATGCTTGATGCTATGCGTAAGTTAAACTTGTCTAGGGATTCGTTTTACCACGAGTTTTTGAATTATTTTTTTCATTTTTAGATTCCTAAACCAGTGGATAAATTAAAAACAAAATACTTCTTTGTACGTGTTGGTCTTTCGGACACCTATCGACGTGAAACGATTAGACAAGGTCCCATTAAAATAGATGGAAAATGGTGTAAGTGGAATTCTTGTTTTGTGATGACGTTACATAAATGACAAAGTTTTGAATACTTTCAACTTGAAAGTCATAGTACCAGCAAAAAGTAAATACGCAGATAGTGACCGCATATCTTACGTGCAACCTTGACGTGGTACTTGGCTGAGAAAAGAAGTACCAGACCTCAACACCTCGCTACCTCCATATTCCTGAAGTTCAGGCCCTAATCACAGAATAGGGCCTGACACAAAACCTATCTAGAACCGTGGGATTCCCGTCCATCTGGTGGACGGGAAATCTGATTGGTTGATCAGCATCATGAAGGATTTTGATTGGCTGCAAGTTCACATAAACAACAGTTTTAAAAATAGCTCACTCAAGGCGACAATTAATATAAAGTTTGTCAAACGCACGTATCAAATTCCATTATCGATTTCTTCGAATTTCTTTTCTTTTATGCTTTATGGCAGAAAATAAATCAAACAAACAGTATTTTGAAAGGCTTTATCAAAATCTTTGACGAATTTTGGACACACGACGCTGAAAGAACAGCCAAACTAGTCATGTATTCGAAAGCTTGTTGTTGACAGCCAAGATGTTCTGCCAACTGGCTTCGCCGGCAAAAGTCTCATTTTTAATATCAGGTCCTACCGGCGTTGTTTTCTGAGCTACATCGCCTTCTTCGTGGTACGATTGAAAATTTCATTGTTGCTGTATATATCAACAATATAGAGTATATCCGCGTCCAGCAAGTTGAGATCTTGAGAAAGCTTGGAAGTCAAGCCGTGCACAGAACTGACTATAAAATAAATCTTTGTTTGCTGTTCGGTTAAATAGTACCCAGGGTAGTTAAATAAAGAAACTGACTCTTAATTATATAAAAGTACCTTGAATTTTTAAGTTTAATTAAAAAGCAAAATGCGCACTCTGCGGCATGTTCATGAGAATATAATTTTGTTGTGTAACGAAATCTACAACACTTGTCAATCATATTGCATGTTATGTCTAAAAATAACATGTGGGCGTCCCACGGTCTAGACAGGTTTTGTGTCAGGCCCTATTTAAAATTAGGGCCTGAACTTCAGGTTAATCCACACCGGGCAAGCTTGAAAAATATGCCTGACCACGGTGGAAATCGAACCTACGAGGCTACGACCTTTGGAATATTAGCCCAAAGCTCGGGCTGCCAACTGAGCTACGCGGTCAGGTCGGTTCGAGTATGTGATATTTCGGAACCGATTCTAGTTACTTCGATATCAATGTAATCTAATAATCATGATTTTTCTGTGTTGGTGTAATTGTACTCAGGTGAATACGTGATATAATACTCAAATAAATGATGCTTGTGATGTTACATATTTTTCAAGCTTGCCCAGTGTGGATATACACTCACAAGCATCATATTCACCTGAGTGACCTGACTACAATTACACCAACACAGAAAAATCATGATTGTTAGATTAGGCGAGACTTTTTTTATTCATTGGTTTACAGATCCGCCGACCGTAAATATTCAGAAAGTGAAAAATAAAAAAAAATTGGATGTCAACAATTTTAGTTAATTTGGGGTTCTGATATGAAGTAAACGCCAAGTAAACTTTGACTTTAAGCCACTGGTTCGTGTTATCGTTGTGACAATCTTGAAAAACAAATGTTTTTTTTAATTTTTTTCCGACCTACCGACCTGTTTCTTTCAAGTAAAATCCGTAAACCAATAAATAAAAAAAGGCTCGCCTTACATTGATATCGAAGGAATTAGATTCGGTTACAAAATATCACATACTCGAACCCAGGGGCGTAGGAACCGGGGGGGCCATGGCCCCCCAAGTTTTGGCAAGTGCCCTTTTTACAGGAGCAAAGTGCCCTTTTTGTGCCTGAAAAATTTTCATAAAATTCGCAGTTTTTGTCCAAACGAAACTTTTGAAAACTGTAATGTAGGTTTTTTCCCGAAAAATGTTTTAGTTTCCGATAAAAATATCAATATTTAATAATATTTAAGGAAAAATATGGTATGTCCGGAAAAATTTTTTACCCCTAAAATGGTACACTGAGGTCGCCAAAAAAATTTTTTGAGATGCCCTTTTTTTTTTGAAAGTGCCCCTCAAAGCCTGGCCCCCCCAACTTTTCTAAGCTTCCTACGCCCCTGCTCGAACCGACCAGACCGCGTACCTCAGTTGGCAGAGCATTGGGTTACCGTTAGTATTCCAAAGGTCGTAGGTTCGATTCCCACCGTGGCCGGGCATATTTTTCAAGCTTGTCCGGTGTGGATATACACTCAGTCTCAGAGTAACATGACAAGCATAGTATAGATTTATAGTATCCCATGTGGAGTTTTGATTTCCGTGACTAAAATAGTAAAAACAACAAAGCGTCTAATAATTTACATCACACCAAACATATGTCATATACTACAATTGCTTGTACGATCTTACTTGTTGCTTTATGACCGCCATTGGGACAAAAATTGCAATTTGAAAGGGCAAATTCGTGCGCACACTGTTTACATGCCGCCATTTTGCATAATATAGCAACTGAAGTTACCATAGTTACCAGACTATGCGCGCGCATTAGTTTTAG